ACTAAAAGCCGACGTGTGACCACGTTGAAACTAGTTGATCCAATTTTTGTCGGTCACCATCGAAGGAGAAAGAATCACTGTACTCAGCATCCAAGCGCTCCTTGAATTCGCTGCCTTAATTTCCCTTCAAAAAACAAGAATCACCTTCCATTTTTTTTAAATCCGCGGACTCGCCCGCTTCCACACGCGTTGAAAACAAAACTACAAGTACGATTCGGCTGAAATTTTGACAGTAGCCGTTTAAATTTTATCTCGCGATAGTGACGCAATCGGGCGGTGGGCCTAAGTACTTACCGGACCGCCCTCGTACATTCGTAAAAAGGGGTCATTTTTTAATAAGATCATGCTAAGAACTGAATCAGAATATTTGACCGAGCGCGAATTCGAAGATACCTCCCAGCTAACGTAAATCATATTTGCCAACATCGCAGTTACAGATTACAAATACTTAGAAGCTTTCGAACGGGTGATTTTTTAAGAGGTATAGGATTTGATTTTAAAAAAACACAAAAAATTTTAAAAAACGATTAAAGCTTTATTTGAGTCGATATAACGGTCGATATAATTTAATGTTTAAAGACTATTTCATGTAAATGTTGGCCGCGGCTCCGCTTTAGATGGCCCATGCGCAAGGTCCAATTTTGGCACACTCTCTCCAACATATCGGCCGGTATCTCACGAATAAATGCTTCAATATTGGCTTCCAGTGCGTCAATCGATGCTGGTTTATCCCTGTAGACATTAGCCTTAACATGGCCCGACAAGAAATAGTCCAACGGCGTTAAATCACACGATCTAGGCGGCCAGTTGACGGGCCCCAAACGTGGGATAAACTGTTCACCGAACTCGCCTCTCAATAGGGCCATTGTTTCGTGTGCGGTGTGGCATGTGGCACCGTCTTGTTGAAACCACATGTCAGCCAAGTACAGCTCTTCCATTTTGGGCAACAAAAAGTTTGTTATCATCGCACGGTAGCGCTCGCCATTCACAGTTACGCTACGGCCATTGTCGTCTTTGAAGAAGTACGGCCCGATGATGCCACCGGCCTATAATCCACACCAAACAGTGATTTTTTCGGGATGCATTGGTAGCTCTTGCAATGCTTCTGGCTGGTCTTCACTCCAGATGCAGCAATTTTGCTTGTTAACGTACCCATTCAACCAGAAATGAGCTTCGTTGCTGAACACAATTTTTCGATAAAAATGTGGATCTTCCTCCAACTTTGCCAGCGCCCATTCACCAAATTGGAAACGATGTGGGAGGTCGTATGGCTTCAATTTTTCCACCAGCTGTATCTTATAAGGTTTTACATCCAAGTCCTGTCCGCAAAATTTTCCACGTAGTGGCCCAATTGCTGCGAACGGCGGCGAATCGACATTTCACGGTCATCACTAACACTCGCGGATACAGCCGCAATATTTTCTTCAGTCCTCATTCTACGTCTGCGTGTTGGTGGTTTAATGTCCAATAATGTAATCTGGGTTCGAAATTTAGTCACAAGCTTCCGAATAGCTCCCTCAGTAGGCCGACCAAATTGCCCATAAATTGGAAGCAGTGCTCGATGCACTCTCTTAACCGAGCATGAATTTTGATAGTAAAATTCAATAATTTGCAAGCGTTGTTCGTTCGTAAGTCGATTCATGGTTAAATTATAGACCAAACTGAACAAGTTTGACAATGACACAAGACACGATTCACGCGTCATCTATCAAAAACAGTGTTGCAAAAAAGATACTAGCAAAAAAATCACCCATTACATTTGGTCTGACACTGGTCGCTCTTCTATTATGAAGCAGAGTGGTCGAGATTAGCTCAGAGGCAGCATCTACGAGGCAACCCCATTAGTAACTTTCATCAGCCTGTCGGAGATGCCATTCCTAATGCAATCAATTCCTTCGTAGCGGGTGTTTATATTGGAGACGTAATTCCATGTTTTTCTGACCCTCAGTGGACGTTTTCTATCAGTGGCGGACGATATTGCACATCGAATCGAATGTCGGTTTCAAAAGTATGTGTTGTTTAGTTCACAAGGAAACTTGGGTAATGACATTGTCGTTTTCTCAATTGTAAAAATCGCCCTGAATTTTTTTTACCAGGTCCAAAGAGGACTTGCGACCCATCAATCGTATGCCAGTCATCGAGAAAATTATACAAATAGAATCATTCTGTGAAACTGCATGCCAATTTGTATGTACAAAGTGGAAAAAATATATAGATGATGGTAAAGTGATCGTGTGTGCGTCTGTTGACTTGAAAAGAGTGTTTGAAACTATTGATAGAAAATTTTTGTTGAGAAAATGTGTAAGGGTACATCCCTTTTGTCGGTGGGTGATTATTTATCTGAGCGGTTACAAGTGGTAAAAATTGAAAGTGAAATATCAAGTAATTTCTGTTGATGTAGATGAAGTACATAATATAATAAGGTACTACTTTATCAATAATATTAAAAGAAAAATAATCAAGCATGAATTACTCTAAAAGGAAAGAACAATAGATTAAGACTTCTTTATTATTCCATTATTGTTTTTTTAATCAAGTGTTTATATACGAAATCCTGGCAACAATGGATGCTGATGTTGAACAAGCGTATGTACGTTAGATTCACAAAATTATAAAAATAACTTACCTCCTTTAACTCATTTGTATTCATGGTTTTTTTTATTCATACTGTCATAGTTTCTTGTAAAACAATTCTGAATGCTGCGACATCTTTACAAACACAGAAAGACGATGTGTATACTCAAGCAAATGATCACAAAACTGGTACAATGAATGACTGAATCAGGCAAATGGAGTAATGAAGTTAATGTGGTTGTTACGGTGTTTGACTGAAATACTTCAGTCATTACAGGGAATAACTGAAATGCTTAGTCAAACGTTGTAATGATCAAACTGTTACGGTGTTTGCCGGCAATATGACGACTGACTAGGCATTTCAGGGAATGACGCATTTCAGCGTTTGACGCCGACAGATACATCTGCAGCGCGCGAATATAAAAGCAAAATTTGGAAATTTGTGACATGGAATAGTTCTGCTCTAAGGCGACGATTTGATGCTAAGCTTACGCTCGGTTTTTCAATCGCTGGTTAACTTGTTACTGTCATGCAAAAAGGTTAGGCATTGCGGTTCAACTGCAACTTGCATGGTCTAAAATTACAGTTAACCTGCGATTGAAAACTCGGACCTAAATCGTGTTATCTTCCGCGTAGGACCGTAAAAGCCAAACAAGTCTTATGAATAACTCCTTTTTCGTAAAGTTGTTGAATCACACTGTTCGTGGTTACGTCGTTTAAAATACGATAGCAGATAGGCTCTACTTTAGTACTGTCTCTTGGTGTGACCTCTATCTGCTAACAATGTTGATCCATTTTTAGAATTGCTAACCTGAGATACATTAAACGCGGACTTAAAACTAAAAATGATTGCGATTTGGATGATTTTTTCATAATTTTTTTGAAAATTGAATTGACGTTGTTAGTTTTACTTTGGCTTGTCAGATATATCTCATATTTGCCTACCACTTGATGCGTATGAGTGTTTTTGAGAACGTTATTTCAAAGTGATCAGGGGTGGATCTAGAAAATATTTTTTTGGGTGGGCTCTATATTGTGAATTTAAAATGAAATTACCCGGTATTGTTCAGGAAGGTGTCCATCTCCGGCGATTGAAAAGTGAAGACCGGAGGCGGGTGGGATCGTCTGCAAATTGAAGAACACGTTCGATTCTTTTTAAACTAGGATATTACGGGGGAAGAGGTAGTCAGGACGACAAGGACACGTCCTGTATCCGCCCCTAAAACTGATGTAGTATCAAAATACTTGATGCATTTTTTCAACATAGTTACTGTGCATACGTAAAATGCCGGCGCCGTCACTGAATACTTCCTACTGTGCCTTTATAGGCTCTCTACTCCCTATCGAGCAGAAATGGATATCCAGGGAAATGTTTTTCATCTGATCGGATAATTATACCGTCACATTCTGATACGGTTGGAGTGGCTACAAATGAGATTTTATTTAACTTTACCAAGGGCTTATCTAGGGGAGTCGTGTTGTCGGCTGTTGGCGGCGCCCTCCCCTGGTTTTCAGTTGTCTCAAGGCATTTACCCCCTCCCAGGCACTTACTGATGCAGCTACCTGTCACCCTCCCTCCCACTCGCTCTTCACCTAATCGCCTATGACCGCATGCTCTTCAAATTTCAATCGCCGCGACCACCATTGCGCTGCCTCCCCCCCACTAGACAACTTCCTAAATCCACCGCTGTGAATAAGTGACCATTTCCAGACTCAAAAGCCGGATCTGCCTTTGAATTTTACTTCCTTCACAACAGTGGAAGATCATTCTACTCTCGAAAATATATTCGGAACCTGAGAATAGCCAATTTTTCCTCGTTAGTCCATATGCCAGCAAATATTTTTTCTTTCACATATTATGTGGTTTCAATCATGAAAATAAAAATGGTGTTAAGTGGGTTAAGTTCAGCGCCATTTAAATCCCATGAGAAAAAATTTAGTTACGGACGTGTAGGGGGAGTCCGGGAGATTTGACCAGGTGGGAGATATGCTCCACACCGCATAAATCATTTTGAATTTCGCGCGATTTAGATCACTGACAGGCCGCTGCATGCCTGCTCGATGCTTGTCACACGCACGGCGCCATATTGGCTTCTAGCAAAACGGTTCTACAGTTAGCGAAGGAAGCACGTGTTTGGTGCTAAGAAGTTAGAAATTAGAATATTTTGAGTTTTGACGCCACGTCTTTAAATAATCAGGTATGAAATGACCTTAATATTAGTTAGATTACTAAATCATTCTAGTTTTGAGAACCAATTGTGTTTTATTCCTCAGCTTAAACTAATTTCCGTAATTTTTAAATCGAGTAAGCTAGGTCGGGTTAGGGAGACTTGACCCATCATGCCTAGGGAGATTTGCTCAGTGGTTCAAATGTCCCTTTGTTGTGTCCGACAAAAAGAGAATCGTTTCAACTCTTTTTTTCAGATATGCCGTTTCAATACAAGAGCAAATGCAGTTCATCTCGTAAAAAACTTATAAAACAGGAGCTGCAAAATGCTATTGCAGATGTGAAATCTGGTGCATCTCTGAGGAAAACAGCTATCAAGTATGGGATAAACAGGACGACTTTACGTCGGTACACAAAAAATGAAGAAAAACTGAGAGTTTTTGATGAAAAGGGTAGTTCGCATAAGGCTTCTCAGATTTTCACAATTCCAGAAGAGAGTACTGCTGGTTGGATATTTAATAAACTGCAGTAAAATGAATTATGGTCTTACTCGTATAGAAGCGATGAAATTAGCTTATGAATATGCTTCATCAAATTCCAAAAAAGTTCCAGACAGTTGGTCAAGAAACTGTTCAGCTGGAAGAGACTGGTTCCGTGGGTTTCTTCATAGAAATAAAGAAATAAGTCTGCGAACGCCTGAAGCAACTAGTTTATCAAGGGCGACTAGTTTCAATAAGAAGAATGTTGGTGACTTTTTTGATAATCTGAGGCGTGTTCGGGAGAAATATAAGTTTGAACCACAAAATATTTTTAATTGTGATGAGACAGGATGTACTACTGTTCAGGACTGTCCAAAAGTGTTAGCAAGCAAACAATCAAGGCAAGTGGGACAAGCAACTTCTGCTGACAGAGGAACTCTTGTAACAATTTGCTGTGCAGCTAATGCAATTGGGAATGTCATACCACCATTCTTTGTATTTCCTCGTGTCAAATATCGGGAAGATTTTGTATCTAATGGACCAGAGGGATCGGATGGCGACGCATACTCCAGTGGTTTAATGACCAAAAAGAGCTTTTTGAAGTTCATGGAACATTTCAAAAAGTATTCCCGAGCATCCAAAGAAAATCCTGTTTTACTTATATTCGACAATCATGAAAGCCTTATAAGCATAGATGTAGTCAACTTTGCCAAAGAGAATGGTATAACAATAGTAACGATCCCTCCGCATTGCAGCGGTAAGCTGCAACCGTTAGATGTTGCTGTTTATTCTTCATTTAAGTCACGTTATAACAGAGTTTTGAATAACTGGATGCTATCAAATCCAGGGAAAACGGTGACGATATATAATATACCGGAGCTTATAAAGACATTGATGTCAGACGCCTTTAGTCAGGCGAACATCCTTAGTGGGTTTAGAAAGAGCGGCATTCATCCTTTTAATCCTGATATTTTCACTGAGGAAGAATTCATGTGCTCTGCAGTCACTGACAGAAGTTTCTTGGGCGATGACGATATTCTTTCTGCTCATTCGACTCTTCAAGACCATTCGGCTCGACTGACTTTTTCTAATAGTATAGAAAACCCGTCATCTTCCTTTGACAATCCCTCTATGCGTTGTGATCAAAATGGTGCTCACTTAGATAAGGTTCCACTTGTAGCTCCGGCAGCAATAAGGCCTTACCCAAAAGCTTCGCCCAGGAAGAAAACACGGGCATGGTCGTCAGCCAGGAAAAACAAAAATCTTAACCGAAACTCCTGAAAAAGAAGATAATCCTGTAGCTGATCCGGCAACTGTTGGGATACTCACCGAAAGGAACATTGAGGAGAACCGAACGATGGCTGCGAAAAACTCGAGGGTAGGAGGAATTAAAAAGAACATCTTTCAAGATGATGAAACAGAAACGTAACGGGAAGATAGTTCAACCATAGTCGAGCATAAATCCAGAAAGAGAAATTTCAGGAGTTCGACTGGAAATGGAAACACAAGAAGAAAGACCAAGTTGAAAAAACGCGTTAAATCCAGTGAAACAGAATCAGAGGACGAGTGCGTTATCCAATATGCTGATAGCTCGAGTGGTGACGAGGCTCAAGATCCAAGTGACCCTTGGTATTGTTTTGTTTGCCAAAACGAAGAGGTTTTGGATATGCGCCTTTGCATTTCCTGTAAAAGGTATGCACATGAAATATGTGTTGGACTGACGAATAAAGACAATGAAAACTTCATATGCCATGAGTGCGACTGAAATTATTAATATTTGTGTTTTATGTGTTGATGACACCTTAGGTTCTAGAGAAAATTCAACTTTTTGTTAGTTTTGTCTTGGATTATTCCAACCCAGCAATGAATGTAGAAGTTTCGTTTGTAGTTAATGCTGATATTCTAAATAAACTATTTGAGAGTTGAAAACAGTTTGTCTTTATTTCTCTGTATATATATATATATATATATATATATATATAAAGATGTGGTCAAGTCTCCCTTATGATCGGGTCATCTCTCCCAGGGGTTGGGGAGACTTGACCCATATATCAATTTTTCGAAAATCAATAGTTACAGCTAAACCACTAGATTAATAGCGATTTCTATATCACACAGTAATAGCTATTAGGCAATCTGACGCACATGTCTTTGAGCGACCAAGTTTCAATGAAGAATTACAGTTTTATGCATGTTGGAGTTGAAAGGGGTCCAACTCTCCCGGACTCCCCTACAATACAGACATTAAACGTATTGAGTCAGTCAAACAGGTCCATACAATTAGTCTATGGTACCATAGACATTTTTCCCTGCCCTACAGCGCGTTATCTTTCGTTTCATGCAAGGCCTTTGTTTTGACCTTCAGTAAGGATACATACATTGTATACGGATGGTCTAGTTCGCCAGGGGCTGCGCTTGGATAGGCGGGAGTAAGCTTTAAAGGCAAATGTACGGGTAAATCTACGATAAAATAATCCAACCTCTCCCACCCCCTACAAACACCATCAAATTCTTCCTACAATTTTTTTTTCAAAAAATTTTCAAAAACGCTTCCGCGTCCTTAGCATAGTAGTAACATTGTGTAAAAATAAGATTAACGGACAAACCGACATATGTTTTTTCGAGATGTACGTGTTATATAACATCCAAAACACATATCTCATTTTCTACTGCTTCGCCAGTGGCATCTATTTTATATATCTTCTCTAACAAACAGTCTCGGAGCCCTTTGGCACCGGCGCTGGCGGTCCGTCGGCGATCTAGCTGTGTTCTGCCGCTACAGCAACAAGCTTTGCTCCTCAGAGCTCTTCTCCCGCCGCGCGATGTGCCTGCCAGACTCGCGTTTGCGCTTGCCGCGTCAGCGTTGCTAAGCAACGTGGCGAAGAGCTTCGCTATCCAACCCTCGTCTATCTCTTTCTAACATGTGTATCTATACACACTTCTGCCTCGCACACATTTAACTCAAGCCGTCGGACAAATCTGGTTTTCAGTGTATATTCGAATTATCATGGCAATGACAAAACTATTTTAGCGAATGAAGTATATCGTCACGGACGAAACACATTTGGAATCGGGCTCCTGGTTGTCCAAAGTCATATGTTACGTGACATTAAATAAATCGGAATGAATTTCGGATTTGTTGTAACAATTGCGAAATGGAATGAGCCTATGTACACCATCAAAATACAGTTAATACCAATTTATTCATCGATCAGATGCATGGTTTCAATTGAATGTAGATGGCGCACACGACGCGACGAAAATATACTCGCGCGGGTAGAATTTTAAAGCTAATTACTAATTATAAACAACAATTAATATACTCTGTTTATCTACTGTGTAAAATAAACGCTAAATGGAAAATCGAAATTGTTATTCACCAGCTGAATTTACAGTAATAGTACGGAGCTCATTGTTCTGGGCAGTTGATTTTCAAATATTTTTCATTGTTTATGTCATGCATAGGTAGTGAATTCGAGTAGACAAACGGACTGACAAGAGAACCGATAAACCCCGGGAAATTCTGCATACGAATTTTTCAGATGTTTCGAGCAATAAATAAATAAATAATAAATAAAATAGCGTTTATTGCCCAACAGTTAAGGAAACCATTTACAGGACAATCCTAAGATAAATCAAAATAACAAGAACAGAAAACACATAAAAAGCAGGTGATTTCATCTAAACAAAAAAAAAATGGTTTGTCCAGTTTCCCTCTATACCCTGGATGCCATTGCCTCTTCAATATCTTTCTTTCAATTTCTTAAATGCGATGCTCTGGTGGTATCCATCCATAAACCTTTCATTTCTCACATGCTCTAACCTAGAAATACGGCAACTCCTCCAGTAATCCATTTCCAGGGACATCACCCTATCCTTATTTCTTTTAATCAGCGTCAATATTTCTAGCGTAAGTACAGATTTCCACTATCGCTTGATATATGTACAATTCTTTTCCTCCTCTTTGTCATCCTGGAGCTCCATAAGACTGAGCTAAGCTCTCTGATTTTCGTTCCTTCAAGAACTTAATGGCATCCATATTTCCAACACCCTGTATAGGGGCATTCGCTGTATCCAAGCGCTACATGGCACCGCCAGCGGGTCTAATCAGGACGTCGGCTCTGTCGCCGTCGCGGCGCCATCAGCAGCTATATAGACGACGCCGACGCTGCGGCCGCCGACGCGCAAGACACAGCGGCGACCACCAGCCACTTCAAGCAACTACGATGTTCATTAATCTAGCAATGTTTCACTGGAAAAACTTTTTCAGGCGTTTTCCTACTTCGCAATATATAGCTTTGATTGTTTCGATTCCGTTGCCGACGATGCTGTCAGAGGTAGTACAAAATGGGGACGGTGTGAAAACAGTTCAAAAGACCTTATTCGGCGATAAACTGTCCTCATGGTTATTGTTCTTTCGACAGCATCAAATCACTGGTTCGCAACTGCCCCTGTTGTGGAAAATCGATATCTAAGTGCTAATTGCCTCAAATAACAATCCTGTCGCTCGATAGTTTGCCTTTGATGTCCATTGCCTCTAACTCGTCGATTTCAGCCTTCTGGGAACCACATTCGACAACATCCTCATTACAATAGCTTCGTTTCGATTCACCCGATTAGCGATTTTTCTAAAAGAATATCCGGCTTCAGGTAGCCCGGAAGGCATGATAATGCAATGAAACAAATGGAACCAACAAAGAAAAATCACTCAATATTAAGTTCGGATCCTGATCCTGATAAATATGACAAAAATAGCCTTTACAAAAAAGAACGGCTCAGAACGCCTTCAACATTTTATCAGCGTTTACTTCCATCATAGCAAATATGTTTACAAGTTTTTATCAAAATTCAATAAATAATTATTCTGGGTGTTGCATTTTACATGTCACTTAGTAGACGTCTGACCGGTTGTTTCAAATATCGGTAATTGCTGACACAACTTTCACAAAGATTGGGAAATGACAAGATATGGGCACTGAAAGCTATCATAATTTTCACCCGACAGCCTCAGAAGGAGGGATATGTTTTTCGCTCGTGGGTATGTACGAGTATGTAGCCAAAAAAATCTATTTTACGGGCCAAACGGCTTGATGGACCTCGACATATGAGCTGTCGTTGGATTGGTCTCAGCAGTGCGAGTGTCTATATTAAAATTTTATAAAAACAAAATGGTGGATTATATTAAAAAAAACTCGAAATTCCTATTTCGCAGGCTATAGCTTAGGGAGGACGAGGAGGTCACTCTACACTTGTCTTGACAGCGCGAATGACACTGTGTATACGAAAATTTCTTAAAATCAGAATGACGAATATTAAACTACAACATGACTGTAACGTTTTTATTTCAGGGGCTACAGTTCAAACGGCTTGATGGATTTTGACATTTGAAGTATGTTTGGATTCTTCGTGGTAACAATTAAAAATTAATTGTGTTCAGTTACCAGTTGGGCTTTTATATTTTTTTCAATACTGTACTTTTTCACAATACTGCTTTCGTCTGTTCGGTCAAATAATACGCTAGCCGTGTACAGATGTATCATGTTTAATTGCAGTCGTATTATTTCTCAATGGCGAGTAAACCACATATACTATGTCGCCAAAATCGACGGCATCAACCGGTTACAGTGAGGATTCGGCCTTCGATGCGAACTGAAATACTCTTACAGTTACGCAGTAGTCGATTCTGGTAATACATGTCGTTTTCGCTATCTTAATTTTTATTGTATTAGTTTCAAAAAAAAAATAATAATGGCACACTCATACACCAATAATGAACTCGTTGATACGTTGTTAATTTATGGCGAATGTCTTCAAAATGCTACAGAATCGTCGCGAGTGTATGCAGATCGTTTCCCTAGACGACATCATCCAAGGCCCCGCAGATTTGTGTACCTGGTCCAGAGAGTCAGGGATACGGGCCATTTGGAGGAATTTCGAGGTGGGCACAGTGGGAGGCCTAGACAACCACGAATGGTGCAAGTTGAGGAAGAACTACTGAATCGCGTAGACGAGAATCCCTCAACAAGCACTAGAGACGTGGCTAGAGAAGTGCAAGTATCAAAAACTAAAGTGTGGCAAACGTCCAACGTGTACAAGCCCTTCAACCTGACGATTTTCCAGCAAGAGTGCGGTTTTGTGAGTGGTTGTTGCATCAACATGACAATAATCCGAACTTTTTGAAGTGCATATTGGTGACAGACGAATCTACGTTCACGCGTAATGGGGTGAATAACCTTCGATTTCAGGCAGAGACGTACTTAGCCCTTCTCGTCAACTGGAGA